AGAGAGAGAGAGAGAGAGAGAGAGAGAGAGAGAGAGAGAGAGAGAGAAACGAGAGAGAGAGAGAATATAGATGAGTATAATGAGCTTCTGTCTTAAGTCTGAGAATTTTTATTCTTAAAGACTATTTGGTTCTTTTTGTTTTTGTTTTTTTAGTTTTTATTTTATGTGTATGAGTGTATTGCCTGCATGTATGTGAGTGCAGCTGTGTCGTGCAGTACCAACGGAGGTCAGAAGAGGGCTTTGGATTCCCCTGGAACTGGAGTTAAGGATGGTTCGTAGCCGCCATGTGGGTACTGAGAATTGAACCCAGGTCCTCTGCAAGAGCAGTTAGTGCTCTTAACCGCTGAGCCATCTCTCCAGCCCCAAAATTGTAATTCTTATATGTTACTGATAAGTTCATAGTTATATGTCATTAAAAATTGCACATAGCTTAGGTAAGCTATTAGGATTCTATGTAGTGTATGAATTTTCATAGCTGAAGAGAAAGAGTAACTGAATGGTAGTCTTACATTCTCTTTTCCTTCTTCCTAGACTTCAACAGTCAAGAAAAATCAAACTGGGTAACCATGGCAGAAGGTGGATTCGATCCCTGTGAATGTATTTGCTCTCATGAACACGCAATGAGAAGGCTGATCAATCTGGTGAGATGGATAGAGATGTCCTATTCAGAACTGATCTGTTACCCATTCCTAGTTTTGTGAGAATATTGGTTACCACAGAATTTTCTCCTGATTGTCACTAAAAAGTATCTGATGATTGAAATTCATTATGATAAAATACTTGCCAACAGTTCTTTTATTAGAGGTGGAAACAGATCAGATTTTCTTTATTTATATAGATTTATTTTGATGAAATTTGCCATCCTCCTCCGTCGTTGTCATCTTCTTTCTTTTTTTTTTTTTTAGAGACAGGGTTTGGTCTCCCTATAGCCCCTACTGATCTGGAACTGCCTGTGTAGACCAGGCTGGCCTCAGTCTCACAGAGCTCCACTTTTCTCTGCCTCCTGAGTCCTGGAATCAAAGGTGTGTGCCACCACGCCCAGCTCAGATAATTATTTTTATTTATTTGGAGGTGGTGGACAGTGATGACTAAGATGGGTTCCTGCCTTCGCCAAGCTGCATTGGGATAGCATTTAATTTTGGTAATTGAGAAAGTTAAAGCATTCTTACAGCGTTTACCATTTTGATGGGTTGTTTAGTAAGTAAAAACAAGTCTCAAGCCCGGCATGGTGGCACGTGCCTTTCCCAGCACTCCAGAGGCAGGCGGATCTCTACATAGACAAGGCCATCCTGGTCTATGTACTGAGCTCCAGGCCAGCTGAGGCTGCAGGGAGACCCTTTCTCAAAAAGACCAAACCAAACAAAGTCTCCCTTTGTCACTAAGCTAGTGCTTTCTTAACACCTCTCTTCAGAGGCTGTAGGACTGAATAGGTATGGAACATTTTGCTATTTGAATTTTTCAGAAACTCAATGAAGCAGGGTGTGGTGGCACACACCAATAATCTCAGCACTTAAGAGGTGAAGGCAGGAGGATTAGGAGTTTATATTCTTCACTTAATACCAAGTTCCAGGCCAGCCCTGGAACCTGAGGCCCTGTCTCAAGCAAACAAAAGTATTGATGTAGTTAAATATCTTTTAATTATTTTTTTGAGACAGTCTCCAGCTGGCCTGGAACTTGCTATGTAGACTAGTCTGGCCTTGATCTCACAAAGATCCACCTACCTCTGCCTCCTGACTGCTGGCATTAAAGACACCACCACACTACATTAAATAGCTTTTAATTTTAATCAACACTTCATTGGCCTAGGAAGATTCAGATAGGAGGAGGGGAGGACCAGTATTGTTTCTGGATACTTGGTCATGTCCACACCAGTGCAGTCTGAACCCTATGGCTTTGAAGAGTGAATTTAATCTAACTATAACTTTATCAGTTTTCAGTGTTGGATATACACAATCAGCTTACTAAGTGGAAGGCTAATCATTACTTGGGAGGCAGAAGCAGACAGATCTCTGTAAGATAGAGACCTACTGGTCTATGTAGTGAATTCCAGGCCAGCTGGTGCTACAGGGATACTCCATCTCAAAAAGACACACAAAAAGGCCCAAAGTCGTCTCATACAATGTGAATGAGTCAGGGTTTCTGTAGGGTTCTCAGGTTGGGCTGCCAACACTTTGATTTCCCCTTCCACTTGGTTCCCTCAAACAGGTCTTTAGATGGGAAGATACTAAAAAGAGGAAGCAGACTGCTCAGACTATTCTGCAGTTGGTTTCAGCATATCTTAGAGATGTCTTCAAATTAGCTGGTGAGATGGCTCAGTGGGTAAAGGCACTAGCTGTCAAGCCTGATGACCTGGGTTCCGCTCCTGGAACCCACATGGAGGAAACAGTATTCCCACAAATTGTCCTCTGACCTCTACACATGACCCCCTCCCCCCAAAAGGATTCCCTAAATAATCACTGAAATCTTACTCTTTCCAAAAGCTGTATAGGATTTCTTATATATGCTATCATTTTTTTTTTTTTTTGGTCT